TTTTTTGTATTTGTACAAAATGCTGTCATTAAGGTATAGAGTTCAAAATCAAAAGTTTTCTATCATGCCTAGGGATGAGCATGAACTGAGAAAACGCAGTTTGATTTGTGGTTTGTGGCTGAACCACCTGGGAAGGCACTTCTCCCCTTACCATTTAAACACTCCTTTCTGCTCCCCATGGCTTTTCCCGGGGAGCAGAAAGCAGAGTCATTTCAACCTTTCTGCTCTTAGTGGATAGCTGCAGGGAGCGGAAAGCAGCGATGGTTGAAATGGCTCTGAGCCATTTCAACCCTGCTTTCTGCTGCCACGAAAAGCTAGATCAATGGGGAGGGGGAGCTCCCAGCTGCTCAGCTGTTTCTCCTGAAGAGCACAAGGCAGGAGTAAACCATCATGAACCACCACGAATTGCACCAAAACACATGGTAGTTCATCCTGGTTCTTTAGCTCACGAACTCTGGTTTGCAAACCCCAAACAGGAGAATTCATGACAAACTTTGGTCAGCCAGTTTGTGCCCATCCCTACTCATGCCCAAACATAATTCAAAGTTGTGGTGCAAAGCGTGTCTCATTCAGATCTAGCAAACTTTTGTCTACTAGGCATGTGTAGCTCCTCTGTATGAATCAAAAAATCTGCACAAGCTAGCCCTGGCCACTGGCCAGGGCACAGATTTCTGCAAACCCAAGGGAAACCCCACAATGGTAACTGCAACAAACTGTTGGAGCAACACAAAATGGTGCCTGACAACCAGGGCCATCATCAGGAGAGGAGCACAGGAGGGAAGTAGGAGCAAGCAGAAGACAAAAGAGGAAAGGAGACACTGAGAGGGCTTGAAGAGAAAGGAGAGTAGGCAAAGGGCAAAGGAAACAGTGGCAGTGGGGGATAGGACAAGAGAGGGCAGTGGGCAAAGTAGAAAGCAGAGCCAGAACTAGCAAGGCAGGAGGGAAGGCACAGATGAAGGCAGTAGATAGGGAAGAGGAGGCTTGCAGTGGTGGAGTGGGGGAATGAGGGAGATGGAAAGGGTGGGGAGAGAAAAGGCGGGAGCCAGAGCCAGTGGGGTGGGGTAGAAAAAAGCAGGAACTAGAAAAGGTGTGTGTGGAGGGGCTGGCATGGCGGAGGCAAGCGGATAAGCAGGAGGGATGGTGGGGAAACTGGGTGGGTTAGCAGGAAGATTGGCAGGTGAGTGGAGAGAAGAGCAAGTGGGTGGGGCCAGTGGGGGAGAAGGGGTTTTCTAGTGGCTTCAGAGACCCTCCTGAATATTTTTTTTAAGTTACATGTCAGAATCTCTTACCTCATCTTTCTTCTTTGTTTTCTTTTCAAGGTCCTTTTCTTTTCCTTTTGTTTTCTTTTTTCCTTTCTCTTTTTTATCTTTTTTCCCTTTTTTCCGTCCTTTCTTCTTCTGTTCTTCTGCTTCTTTAGCAGCTAGCTCAGCCGCAACCTGGTAGGGGGAAAAAAAGTTTTTTGAAATATTTCATTTAATTTGTATTTATTTAAAACATTTTTTTTGATGCCTTTCCACCTGATCAGGGTCCCCAAGGAGGTGAAAATGGAAACATTAAAACACTGGAACAACTAAAAATATCATTTAAAATTATAAAATAATTTTTAAAAGTATAAATATACAACACTAGAACTAGAGAGAAGAAGAGTTGGATTTATCAGAGTCTCAGAGTGGCTTACAATCACCTCACCTCCCTCTTCCCACAACAGATACCCTGTGTGGTAGGTGGGGCTGAGCTTTGAGAGAACTGCTCTTGAGAGAACAGTTCTAAGAGAACTGTGACTGACCCAAGGTCACCCAGCTGGCTTCATGTGGAGGAGTGGGGAATCAAACCTGGTTCTCCAGATTAGAGTCCGCTTCTCTTAACCACTGCACCAATGAGGACCCATGATCCTTTGTGATTGAATAAACTGGCTTCTGTATGTGCTACTACTGAGATTGGGTCCCACTGTAGCCTATTGGCTTTGAAAAAGAATTATTTGAAACACGGCAGCTTGCATCCTCCTTAAATGCCAACTAACAAAATGGCTGGTGGAGATTCCAAAAAATCCTAAGGAAAACAACATCCAGCTCACGATCAACAGACTTTATATGACAATACACAAAAGTGTTTTTATGCCCATTTAATAATACAAAAGGATGCTAAATGGAAATATTGCACATGTTTAGTTCCCATTATTATAAAATTATTCAAAGACTGAACTGTCATTGAACACATACAGAAAGAGACTGGGGAAAAGCGGCGGGGGGGGGGGTTATGAAGAAACAAAACAGCATGAAGTGACAAAACCTACCCACAAAAGACATAAATTAATGGAAGGGGAGGGGAAGGAAGGAAGAACACACCAGTCCACAATATGAACAAAAACAAAAACAAAAAAAATGGAGAGAAGCATTTATGGATGGGCAATTGCACAATCTGCCTCCATTCCTGAGGATTGGAAGGTAGCTAATGTCACTCCCATCTTTAAAAAGGGTTCCAGAGGAGATCCGGGAAATTACAGGCCAGTCAGTCTGACGTCGATACCGGGTAAATTGGTGGAAACCATTATTAAGGAAAGAATTAGTAGGCACATAGATGAACAAAACCTATTGAGGCAGACTCAACATGGGTTCTGTAAGGGAAGATCTTGTCTCACTAACCTATTAGTGTTCTTTGAGGGGGTGAACAAACATGTGGACAAGGGGGATCCAATAGATATTATTTACCTTGACTTCCAGAAAGCTTTTGATAAAGTTCCTCATCAAAGGCTCATAAGTAAGCTCAAAAATCATGGGATAGAAGGACAAGTCCTTTTATGGATCAAAAACTGGCTAGTTCATAGAAAACAGAGAGTGAGTGTAGGTGGGCAATTTTCTCAGTGGAGGGTGGTAAGCAGTGGGGTACCGCAGGGATCAGTACTTGGTCCACTGCTTTTTAACTTGTTCATTAATGATTTGGAGATGGGAGTAAGCAGTGAAGTGGCTAAATTTGCAGATGATACAAAGTTGTTCAGGGTGGTGAAAACCAGTGAGGATTGTGAGGCACTCCAAAGGGATCTGTCAAAGATGGGCGAGTGGGCGTCAACATGGCAAATGGGGTTCAATGTGACCAAGTGCAAGGTGATGCACATTGGAGCCAAAAATCCTAAATATAAATACACATTGATGGGGTCTGAACTGGCAGAGACTGAGCAAGAGAGAGATCTTGGAGTTGTAGTGGATAACTCACTGAAAATGTCGAGACAGTGTGTGACTGCAATAAAGAAGGCCAATGCTATGCTGGGGATTATTAGGAAGGGTATTGAAAACAGATCAGCCAATATAATAATGCCCCTATATAAATCAATGGTGAGACCTCATTTGGAATACTGTGTGCAGTTCTGGGCACCACACCTTAAAAAGGATATTATAGCTTTGGAAAAAGTGCAGAAAAGGGCAACTCGAATGATAAAAGGGTTGGAACACTTTCCCTATGAAGGAACTCATTAGCATAATAGGCCACACCCAACAGCAGAAACTAATTAGCATATTAGGCCACACCCCTGACAGCACAGCTCATTAGCGCATTAGGCCGCACCCCCATGTTACCAGAAGTGTGGTTATCCAGCCACACCCACCTTTTGCTTGTTATTCTGTTTACCTTGTTTGTTGTCAAAACCCTGGACTTTTTTGTAGCAGGAACTCCTTCGCCACACCCCTGACAGCACAGCTCATTAGCGCATTAGGCCGCACCCCCATGTTACCAGAAGTGTGGTTATCCAGCCACACCCACCTTTTGCTTGTTATTCTGTTTACCTTGTTTGTTGTCAAAACCCTGGACTTTTTTGTAGCAGGAACTCCTTCGCATGTTAGGCCACAAACCCCTAATGTAGCCAATCCTAATGAGTTTCTGCTGTTGGGTGTGGCCTATTATGCTAATGAGTTCCTGCTGGGCGTGGCCAACTTGGGAGCCAGCTGGAACTCCATTCCTGTGCGTTCCTGCCCAAAAATAGCCCTGTAGCAGCTTCACAGTATTAAAACATTAGTGGTTTCCACATGTGAATGGGCCTGCATGGCTTTCATTGCAGTGCAGCTGCAGATAAAGTGCAGCAGTAATGAGGCTTCCACATGTCAGGATTCCCTGCAGTTGCCCTGCCGTGACTCCCCAGCAGTGGCCGCTTCACAGTATTAAAACATTAGTGGTTTCCACATGTGAATGGGCCTGCATGGCTTTCATTGCAGTGCAGCTGCAGATAAAGTGCAGCAGTAATGAGGCTTCCACATGGCAGGATTCCCTGCAGTTTCCCTGCCGTGACTCCCCAGCAGTGGCCCCAGAATGTCATTATATCAACATAATATTATATAGGGTTACCAGATGTCTTCTTTTTAGAGGACGTGTCCTCTTTTTTTGGTGTCCGTCCTTTTGGGATCTTTTTTTTAAAAAATCCTGATGAAAACGTCCTCTTTTTGGGTTGGAAGGTTAGGAATATTCCTAGTTGGTAGCAATTATCGCAGCTTAAATAGTAGGGGGTATTTAAAATTAGATTTGCCATAGTGATGACTTGTTTGAAGCAGTCAGTCGGGAAATATAGCCACTTTTTTTGCTTTTCAAATCGGGTAACCCTACATTATACCAATATGTGTACCAGGTTCTCTGAATTCCCAGCTTTCATGTTTTAAAAAGGAAGTATCCAGCCTCTTCTATTGCCAATATATATATGGGGAAAGGCAATGGAAGGCGCTAGAGATTTTAAAAAAATGAAAACTGGAAAGAAATACAGGTATAACGTTATATTGATATGATGATGTTCTAGGGCCATTTTAAAGAAAAGATTAATAAAAAGCCCCTCGGAGGGAGGGGGAAGAAAATGGCTGCTGCAGGGAGAGGGTTAGGGAACATGGCTGACATATGGGTGGGGAAATCCAAATTTCCCCAACCACATGGAAGCCATCCAGGCCTTACTGCAATCTTTTCCAAAACTTTGGAGCAACCCAGGTTTGAGAAAGATTGGAGAAAATCTGCGGAAATCGCTGGAAGTGAATGAATGTACCACCACGATGCTGTGCGGAAGGAGCCAAAAAAATACCTGCTTCTCGCAATTATCGAACTTGGGGCAGATAACCAATATGAAAATGGCCGTCCATAGCTTGGAACAGGGGTCATTTCTTAGAAAAAGAGGTGCAGGTGCTCATTAGCATAACTCATTAGCATAACTTATTTGCATATGCCACACCCCCTGACATCACCAGATGTGTGTCAGAAGGCAACACCCACTGCAACTTACCTGGCTGCTTCTTGCTCCTCGTGGCCCAGGGCTGCTGGGAGCAGGGGGCGGGGCTTCTTGCATGTGCCCGCCCCCTGAGCTCTTTACTGCCGGAGCTCCGCTCCTGTGCGCTCCTGCAGGAAATGACCCCTGGCTTGGAAACATACTTTGACATGAGGCACAATGTTTCTTATGTACAGATTCAGCCTTCCCCTTTTGCATGTTGATGATTTCACACTAGGGCGGTTTCTTTACAAAGTTATTATTATTATTATTTTTAAATTGAAACAATAAAAACTTAGTTTCGAACCTAAGATATAAGCATTAGGCAACTAACATTCGCTTCCCTCTGTTTCTCAAGGCAGCTACAGGATAGAATTTGCAAAGACGCATAAACATAAAAGAGCTCACAGCGGGACCAGAGGGAGGGATGCATGACTGGAGAGATGACCACCTGATGAACAAAAGTTACAGTTAAGGACAACTCTGTTTTCATCATCGTGGTACCTGTGCAGTCCCACATGAGAGAATGGCAAGCTGACCTGCCAGGTAAAGGAAAGGGGGTATGAGCTCTGGTCGAATAAAGATAAGATATAAGCATTAGGCAACTAACATTCACTTCCCTCTGTTTCTCAAGGCAGCCACAGGATAGAATTTGCAAAGATGCATAAACATAAAAGAGCTCACAGCGGGGCCAGAGGGAGGGATGCATGACTGCAGAGAGGACCACTCGATGAACAAAAGTTACAGTTAAGGACAACTCTGTTTTCATCATCGTGGTACCTGTGCAGTCCCACATGAGAGAATGGCAAGCTGACCTGCCAGGTAAAGGAAAGGGGGTATGAGCTCTGGTCGAATAAAGATCAGATCATCCCTTTCAATTTACAAACTGCATCGATGGAGAGTACACAGTGGACGGCAGCCGAAGCTACTTGAGTTCAAGGAGAATGGGCTCTGAGCATAGGGTCGCCAAGTGGAACTTACCTTGGCGGCGGGGGACTCCCGGGTGGAAGTGACGTTATGACGCCGGGGCACGCTGGCCGTGGCCCCGCCCCCAGCGTGCCCGGCATGCCCGCGTCACTTCCGGGTGACGCGCACGTCGGGGAGGAGTTCCCCCGGGGCCCAATCCGGCGGCGCCAGGGAACAGACCTCTGGCGGGGGGGTTCCCCGCCCCTGGGGGGACTTGGGATCCCTATCTGAGCACCAGTGGAC